AAGAATGTAAAAAAAACCAAGAATAAAAGAAAAGAAACTGAAATTGACGAAATTACTTACTGCTGAACCGATAACTGAAACTGAAAAGGAGCAGAAAACAGTGGAAAAAGAATCGAAAATAACAGAGAAGGAAGAAGGTGAAACTGAAATGGATGCAGAAGAACAAACTTTTACTGAAGCTAAAGAGGAGGAATCCGAATTTGAATCAACACCTGATGCGTAAGACAATATTGCTCTATTTCTAGCATTTTGAAATCTTTTTCGAAATTAAATCTATTTGGATTTAGAACAATACAAACTGATAATAAAGAAATTTTTAGTCTAAAAAAAAGGAATTAAATTTCAAATAATCAGTGTAATACTTACTGATGCAATAAGCGTTTATAGGTGAAAAAAAATCCAATCACTTCAATCAGAACTTAAAAAATTGATTTTTAGGACTGATAGGAGAAAAAAAGAAACACCATCAACGGCTGATACTTCTGACACTTCAGATACTTCAATTGGTTCTAAAACACCTTCCGAATCATCACCAGCACCATCTCAAACCTCACAAGAATTTACGCCTATTTATCCTACTATTAAAAATTCGGAAGAACTAATTCCGCCGCTTACCAGTTCAAATCAGGAACCTGCTCCTTTGGTTACAGCAGAAGCTGCAAATACGAGCAATGTTAGCAGCAGTAGTCGTTCGCAGAAAATTGACAGCTCAACCATAATGGGATTTGATATGATGTTTGATGATGAACCGATTATCCTTTCCACACCGGCATGTCAAGTTCTGGGAATTATAATGAACCAACAATTCTTTAAAAATGCTGCAGCATCAGAAACGGAAAATGATTTAATTCGGATGTACTTTGCCGGAAAAATCCCCCCAGGACGTGAAAAAGATGCCCAAAAAGCACTAGAAAAAGCAGTTAACCTAGCTGTCACAAGGGTAAAATCAAGCGGATTAAGTAAAGATTTATATAGTTTCCTAAATAATAACCGTGTAATGGCAATTAGTTTGATAATCGACGCGATGAAATATCGGCAAAAAGAATTTCTGCCAGAATTTTGGACTTATAATCGAATGAGTAAAAAAGAACCTCCACCAGAATCTCCTTTTTAAACACTTAAAAAAAATCGAGAGTTCTTTTTTTAACAATCATTTTCTTTCCTACATCTTGACAAAACTGTTATGCTTTTTATTACACAATATGAGATTATTGATTAGTAAAATTTTACAATATTCATGTATGTATTTCTATGTATATATATATATGTATACATCACACATTTCATCCGAGAAACTGAGAAAAAAGATAATTACATTATTATAATCAATAGAAAGTAATAAAATATTGCCTATGGATAGTTTCAAAATTATTAACTTTCAAGTAAACACAATAGTTTATAATTTCAAAGAATCCAGAATGCACCGATTTCAACATACTCAGAAAATCTTTCCTTACATCATTCCGATATCTAGTTCTGGATAATCTAGGACTAGAACAAAGTCTGGAAGCAAAATGAAACTATAACGTTTTTATTATAAATACAACAAATAATAATGTAAAACAACTCCGGTTTGAAGACGATTTTTTGAATGCCAGATAGATTTATATGAAACGACATTTGGAAACACACTGCACCAAATTCAGTTCATTGGTATCCGTTGATATCTTATCGCAATCACAATTTTCAAGACCTTTCACAATGCCAGAACGAAAAATACTTTCCATAGTACCATCACCACGCCACAACACTCCCTGGCCTCCACACCCTTCCAGTATAAGCATACGAGGGTCCAACAGGAAGAATCCCAATTCACCAGTAATCCGTAAGATCAATGTTTTGGTTGTATTTACAGCAATTCGAATGCTCGCAACTGCGTTACCAAATGCAATTTGCATGTGCAAATATTGCAATTCCTGCAACCGAAAATGTTCCACCACGCTGCTACGTTGATGACATGTGGTTGCAATCGGTATCGGATTGGAATTACAAATTGCACTCAGTGCATCGAGAAGTTCATGACTTACTTGATGAAGAACAGTATTGCATTCATTATATAAACGATGTTTAGCATCTTGAGGCTGTTCGAATGTTGCCTCTGCATTTATATTTTGAATTGAACCTATTTTTGTGATATTTGCCTTAATTAGTGCTATAGGCGTTGAGTACTTCATTGGATAGATAATTCGCAGAAATGTATGATGCCTTTCCGAAAATTCCACAAGCAATTGAGCCGTGTACTCGGAAAGTGCGGCTGTACCGATGCATATTGCTTTTTTCTTTAAAGCTAAAATAAAATAAAGAAGCTACTTTATACAACTCTTAAGTAATGAAAAATCCGACAGAAACAATGAAAAGATATACCTAACTTGCAAATTTCAAACAAACTTCTTTCTAGATTTTTATTAGCTAAGTTCCTCAAATAGAAAAAAATCGGTTCAGAACGAAAATATCGGCATAAAGGTAATTCGTATCAGAATTAAACAATGAAAATTTATTCTTGAGAAAATTTCACATCATACTAATATACTGCAAAATAAAACCTTGTGCTTGCATGCAAAATAAGGCATTATGAGCAGCGTGCCCAACGATAACAATCGTATTTGTATCATTTCTTGAAATTAGCTGAAATGCCGTATGTGACACCGACGGTACATCATTATCGGCAGCAATATCTATACTTCGTTCTGTATCGGGACACCAAATCGCTGGAAAAAAAGGACTGCTGATGAGTTGTATTGAAATGCGAAAATCAAATCTCGAAACGTCTAATTTCGTTGTGCAAGAAAAGAAAAAAAATCCAAACATCATGAATGTTACGACTTCAGCATTTTTTATTTTAAACTTCGTTATAATTTATTCAAAATGATCTTATTTAATCCCTTTTAGCAGTTAATATTATGCAATGTTACAAATACCAATACATTGCTGACCTTAAGTTTATCGGTAACTTTTCATAATAGAGCTGAAGAGAATGATTCGCATTTTCAAAACTTTGAACTCTTGAACAAATAAGCATTGTAAGTTTGTTAACAATTTCTGAATTTAAAAGCCAAAAAACCATACGTTTGTTTTTAAACTACATTGGTTTTTTGTATCAAATAAAGAGCAAGTACATATTAACAATTAACAAAAACAAAATATAACAGTATAGCAAAGATATATAATACAACCAAATTTATTTAAGAAAACATATCAACTACCAAATACAATGCGATAATCGCAATTACATGAAACTAAATTAGAAAAATTCATTGAAGTTCTATAAAAAACTAAAATAGTATTAAAAAATACCTTTTAAAACGAATCGTTTAATTTCAGTGATCAACTGAACGTAATATTCCACTAATTCCGCATCGCTGCAAATCAAGCCGGCCAACAACTTTGTCTGGTCTTCCATTTTTAAAGAAGATTTTTATTACATGTTTCAAATTGTCTGTTTGAATTTACGAGCCCACTTAGCACGCCTAATTCTACCTCTCATACATTGCGACATTCTCTACGCGCACATTTTGACGTCGTCTCAATCGATAACTGAAAAGAGAAAAACAGAACTTTTAAGAAAGCAAAAGTGGAATTTGAGGACTAATCACAGATTCAGCACAAATCAAGCACAAATCAAGTCCAAAAAAGTAAGTGAAAACAGATGTGAAGTGGAGGAAGGACAGAAACGTACAATAAAACACATGAATGCCTACACAATAAAAAAAGATAGATATAAACAAATAGGAACAAAAAACGTAGATATAGTGATTGATGTAGCATAAAAATGAGTCAGGAACGGCGAAAATCCATATAAAAAATGCAGCTCAAGACACTTTAAATAATGAGAAATGTCACACTGAGCGCAGCAATCCTAGCCAACCGTAGCCTGAAAACATGCATGTAAATAATGCAAACATCGTGTTAAATTTTGTACACAGCAGCAAATCACACGACTTGCCACAAATGTAGAAAAAGTGTAGCAAACTAAGTAAATAAAATAAACATGACCACAGATCAAGAATCGAGATTAATAATTCCCATTGCGGTACTGAATTAAAAAGTTATCGGTACGGTACCATCTAATAAAAGATTTTATAAATGATTTACTTTTTATTTGCTATGAGCATAATAGCTAATTTACAGATTTTGATCATAAATCGTTAAACATCAAATGTGTCTGACTCGTAACGATCTATGACCGAAATAAACAATTCGAAAATTAACATGAGAATAAGTGGATGAAAAATGAAACAGTATACTAATTACATCACTAATTAAAGTCATTAAAAATAGAACGAATAAACAGAAACTCAATCCTCCCCCTTCAGTAACACTCAAAGTTGCATGAGTCGGTCACACAACGAACCAACATTTGGTTTGAACAAATTATTGATATAAATTGTTAGCCACGGAAGCTGTTGTTGTTGTTGTTTGGTTAGGTGTGGTAATTATCAGTACCATTTGTCACTTTCCTAGCTTGTAATTTACTGTGCTTTGCACCACTTTATTTTACATTTTACTTCTTACCTATTTTTAATTACATTGTCGGTGATTAGTTTAATATTTACGGTTGTGTTTTTTATTCATTGCTTTAATGATTTCTTTGTTGTGTGCTTTTATTTCTTTCTGTTTTTCATCCATCATTTGATTGCATTGCTTTATTATTTTTCTCCAATTTTTTCAATTTTTGATGTTTCTAATAAAGTTTCCATATTTTCTCTGCCTAAAATGATTCCACATCGTGTAAGTACTAGAAAAATCTTAAAAGATTTTAAAATCTCGATTCTCTTGAAAGTGAATGGCAATGTCCGATGAGGAATTATTTGTTGGCGATGAAAATGATACTAATTCGAAAGTTCCGGCACATGAAGCAGATCCACACGATGCAACTATGCAACAGGTTAGATATTAATTTCAAGCAAACATCTTACGTATATTGGCGTTAGGACATTTGCGGGCAACATAGCGAGCGGGAGAAGGTTATCTTTATCCAGATATTTTGCCTCCTCGAATAATAATAAGCAGGAATAAATTCATACATTTTGAATGCAAGAGTATGGAAAAGAAATTGAAAAAGGTAAAAACGCGTTATACGCAAGTGTATTGAAATGCAGAACACGGAAGAATAAATTTACTCATTTTAAAAGCTAAACATGTTTTGCACATAACGTGTTGCGTATAATATATGCTTGCGTATAACGCGTTTTTACCCTTGCAATTTCTTTTTCATATTCCACATGATACATTTTTACAGCTTCATAATTTCATACAAATTGGGTAACTTTTGAACTTATTAATGGCAATACTTTCAATTATCAATAAATCTGTAGACATCATAGTTCTCACGTGAAGTTTTTATAATCATATGGTGCTTTCATGATTACTTAATGTACTCATAGAAACATAGTATCTTTTTGATTACCCATTTACGGGGTTACATAATTTTATCCTTATTTTCTGCTAATTTTATGTCTTATGAAAAACACATTTAGATGTTTCTTTTTCCATGGAAAGTGACACTTTCCATGGAAGCAGGAATATAATGATCAACTGCAAAATTTATTGATTTTTTGTCCAGGGAGAAGTACTACCTAATCCACCAAGTAACAATGCTCCGGAAGCTTCATCGTCCGGCACTTTCCTTACAAATAATGTTAGTTTATCCTGATCAAATAAATATTCAAATTTTAATTTTAGCTTTAAAGGATACATTGTAGGCTTTCTGTGGAGTTAGGTTTCGGTGATATATATACTTATGTAACCTACACACACATAGCTATAGCTATACATAAACATGGAAGTTAGTTCAGCCATCTGTCATCTCTGACACACGAAGATTTCGGGTTTTGCAATGTCAAGAAGCATTCAATATTTTTGCTGGAGGTAATGAAAGAATTGCTGGTGTATATATTTCTCCAACACTTTATATTTCGAAAAATTCTTCAAATTGGCGTGTAAGACATTCCTTTCTCATTTTTTTTCAGTCAAATTTTTGAATCACCCAAATTGGGATTTTGAACGAATTTTCGCAAATTCGGAAGTTATGAGGTTAAATGAAAGGCGAAAATTATTCCGATAGCAATGAAAATCTGATAATTCTTTGTTGAAAGCTATGTACGATCATACATAATCATAAAGAGTAGCTTAAAAAAATTATAAATCAATAGGTGAGGGAGTTTCGCTGGACGATGGAGAGCATAGGTTTTTTAGGCGCAAGTATCAGCCACGAGAAAACGGAATCATTTGCGATTGCAGAATTCAAACTTAAATGTTGCTGGTTCGAGTTCGATTTCAAGTTCAAGTCCCGGACAGAGTGGTACAAGTATTATTCCTCAAAAACGTTTGTTTTCACCGAATAATTCAGCTTGTACAAGTGTTACCCATCGCCCATCAGTCGATCTGTCTGCTTGTGGTTCCGAATTTGCACGTTCTCCGGATGATGTTATACGTCATGGTAAATTTTCATCGGAAATTATGTCCTCTATAATATTGAAACTGCTAGAAATCAGTCCAACTTTACCCTTAAGCTTGTCTTTATTTCAAACAATAGCTAATAACATAAGGAGTTGATATTTCTTTGATAAGTTTTCCATGGATTGCAGACTCGAAAACCGAAGGCTCTATAAAATTGAATATATCGAACATGGGAGCACTGAGACAAAAAGTGACAACATCATTTCATACAATTGCGAACCTGCCATGGTAAGTTCCCTTGCACAAAAAGATTTAAACTAATTTAAAAAGACAATTCCTTTGTCCTTAATGCAGAAATTCAATGAGCTAGACAGTGTCGGAAGACGAAAAAACATATTTTTCAAAATTTTTAAAAAAATCAGGAAGAATTGTTAGTAGCTTCTGATTCAGCTTAATAGGATGAAAACAAACAATTTTTATAATGATAACAGTTTCAAAAAAAAAGATCATGCGGTTGTTAGACAAACTCAAAATAGGATTTCATAGAATGGTTTGTCTTTGGAGGTAAAATATTAACTATTTACCTTGCATGCTTCACAGCCGTTGATAGTGCATGATAATAACCCGAGGAAATTTATCGACAGGTAAAATAAGATGTACATTTTAGGCGATTGGCAGCCAAAACTGAATGTACGAAACGAACCAGCAATGTAAAGTTTTTTAGTGTATACATAGATTGCAATCCGGAAAGTGAATCAACATTGTGGAGTTGTGATGCTATCGTTGAGTTCCGCTTAATTTCCCAAAAAGCTGATACTCCTAATTTTAGTCGTCAGGTAATCTACAAAAGTTGTTTAAATTTCTGTATTAATTGTTTGACGTGAACTTGTGATGTAACATAATAATTCACACACGTTATCGAGTTCTCGTTTCGATAATTAAAATGGTTAACACAAAACAGTGATTTATACTTATTTTAGTTTACGAATAAATTCAATTATAATTCAAATAACTGGGGGTTTCCGTCGTTCATGGAGTGGAGCGAAATATTGAATGTCGATAAAGGTTTTATCCGTGGCGATCGTGTTGTGGTTGAAGCACATATTACTGTGCAGAAAGTCGTTGGTGTGAGGTAGAGATTATTATGCTTTTTTGGATTTTTTTAATAAAATTACTTACTGATATTGTTAAGTTTTTACTCTGTGGATGAGTTGAAATAAACGAGTGATTGAGTTGAATTTCCAAGTGGTTTCGTTGTTCTGAATTCATAATACCATGCAGTCGGGATGCTTGGTCGTAACATTTCTGGATAGTTTACTGCAATTGAAGATGCGGAACTGCCAAAGTCAATTTATGTCATCAGTACTTTGATTCAAGATCCAAAAAATTAAAAGTTTGTAACTTTATATTAACTACATTTTGATTTTTTTGGTCATTTTCAGAAAAAATCCAACATTTGATTTCACCGTACCACAGCCACATACGTCAGATGGTGTGCTTGTTATCGATGGTATTCGTTTGCATGTTAGCAAAGCGGTATTTTGTTACATATACTTCCTTTTTATTCTTATTTAAGAAATCATGAAATGAAAGAAGAAAGAATAAAGGAAAATGAAGCGGAGAAAGAGAGATATTTTCATTATATCCATACACGTCAGTTTATATCGCTAGCTACTGAAAAATGAAAATAATCGTGATATTACTTGTTCCGCATTTTAAACCAAAAATTGACGCTGCAATATTTTGCATTATGTGACATATACAATAGAGTACAGTTCTGATTGAGAGGAACTAATTGTATGTTTTTTGTTTGTTGCTTATGTTTGAAATTTATTGCAGTATTTGGCCTTATATTCACCTGTTTTCCATGCCATGTTTTTTTCGAAATTTAGTGAAAGAGACAAAAAAGAAATCACTGTTGAGGACGTCATTCTTGATGAATTCATTGAATTGCTAAGCGTTGTATATCCATCTCATAAACCGGTATCCGGTAAGTGTTTATCAAATTTAGGTTGATAGAACATGGTGTAGTAGGAAACCAGAAAAGAAGCGTGAGTAAAATTAGTCAGCAAAGAAAAAAATAAAGAAATTAAGCGTTTTAATGGACGTCAAATCTACT